ATCGGCGTCCTGTCGTAGCTGCCAGCTTCCTCACTCGCTACCTTCTTTAGTCTTAACAAGCTTAATGAGAAAAGCATTGTTGACCTCTACCTTTTTATGAAGGACGTATTTACCTTTGCTTGACTGTGAGGTGCACGCAGTGTCGATAACAACAAGCATACACCAGTTCTTCTTCCTCCTTCTTTTCCGCCCTCACACCAAAGCAATGAACCAAGAGAGGGCAGCAGGGCGAGAACGGCTGTGGCTTCTAAAGGCCCAGGAGGTGAAAATAACTCAACTCCGAAATGCCTATCTGCCTGTGTCGGTCGTACTTTCGCCAGATTTCTTCGGTGACTTGGTAACTGACAAATTCTGGCACGCCGATTGCTCGCGGCGCCGCCCCGCGTTTTCATTCCGCGGCAGTCGCCAACGGGGAGACGGGGCAGTGAACGGAAGACAAGCCAGCCTTGCTGGCGCAAGTTTCACCACTCCAGAGAATCATATTCAATCTCCTCGATCTACATTTACGCGAAAAAGCCACTAGTAGGCTCCCTCTACTTTCTTCTGGCTTCAACATCTTTTAATTATTTTTTATTGCCGAAAGACCGTTTTTTTTTTTTTTCCAAAGAAAAACAGCTTTGTTTGGGACGACTTATGCTCCTGCATTCCTTAGTTTTTCTAGGGACCACATTTTATGTGAGATAGAACGTTCTAAATCGATCTTCGGCAAGAGTTGAATCTTTCTTGACGTAAAGAACAATTTTCTCCTCGGTTCACACCCTTTTATCGAAAGGTGTAGTTTGCTCCCGCAATACATTCGAGGATGCACTTCATAGTACCGCTCAATTATTCCCTCTGCACTGTGCGGCCCCACACGTTGATGGGCCCCCTCGGCAAAAACATAAAGCTGGATCCGCAAATATCCGTATCCGATCCGCATCCGTATCCAGTTCGGATCCGGAATCCGCCAAATCTCATTTATTTTTATCCGCATCCGCCAGTCTACTGCGGATATCCGCGGGTACTCCGCGTGTAATTCGAGGATATGGACGACACTAATTATAGGCTTCGGCTGTTTGTGGACACAAGAAAGATAGAATAAAGAAAAAAAAAAAAGGTTAAAATTGCTGGTAATTTTTTTTTTCTTTTTTTTTTTAATGACTGGTTAGACAAGTTACAAAAACAAAGACGACCGCGTCTTTCTTTCCGCTTCGTTGTCATCATGTGCTTGGGCACATAAAAAGAAGACCCGGTGATCGTGAAGAAACGGTGAAAGGACAACCATTGACAGCTTAAAGGGGTCCATGAAACGATTTTCCTACTTCTTCCTCCTTAGCTTTAATCCTCAACACTAAAGCCGGGAACACATTTGCGAAAAACCGAACCGAAAATCGGAGAGAAATCGGAGGCTGCGAAAATCTTGGCAGGCGATTTGTGGATGACGAGCCACATGAGGTGGAATGCGCGGCGCGGAAATCGCAATGCACTGCGGTTTTCGTGCTCCGACTTCAGGAGGCTGTGCGGTAGTCTGGCGAACTGGCGTCCCATATTTCGCGCCTCTTAAAAACTTCAGCTATTAAAACCTCGTTGCAAGCCACGCGAGCCTTTCTACCACCACCCTTTGATAGAGACAGAAGGGGTTTTCTACGCTGCACTGCTTCCGAAGCTGCGTGAGCCGCCATGTTGCGAGCCGATCGTATCTTTTCGTTCCGTCCTGTTCCGGGCTTTCGCTCACCGAGCTCCTCCGCCCCGAATTCGGAGGCGCCGTGCGAAAATATCTGGCGCTGCAGATCTTTCGAACCGCTCCCGATTTTCGGAAAAGGGGAGGAGCCTAGCTGCCGTGCAATTTTCGTGTGCGGTTTTCGCACAAAATTCGGCCTTTTTTCGCAAATGTGTTCCCGGCTTAACGCGAATTGTGAAATCACGTCGTCGTGAAATTCTTCGGCACCGGTGCGATGACTCCTAGCTTCCACCGCCCTTTTTATGCACACCATAGAACTTGTCATTCCCCAGCGACGATAAGTTCCGTCAGGGCACTCATCGGCCACCAACGCGAATCCAAATATTGGTCGACGGATTGATTGTTGACGAGCGCATACGTCCCGGTGACGCAGTTCTCGTGTCCAATGCGTGAGCTGGGCTCTGCTGACGTCAGGTTGGCGCCGCTGACGCGCTTTAGGAACCGCGGATGCATCATAATGAAAAGGCGGAGAGCTTTCGAAGGAAAGAAGGTACAAAATAGTCCGCTATATTTTCAAATTTTCGTACCGAAAAGCTGGCTTTTGACTTCCTACCCTCTTTCCTTTTGCCAACTAAACGATATGCGATAAGTAAAGTTCCAATTTAAAATCATTCATCCCAGCCCAAAATTTGTTTCATGGCCCCTTTAAGAACCGCAGGGCGTGGCATTGTTACGTTCATGCCTCTTGCTTCCCGATTGGTTCTTCGGTATTCTTATTAGCAAATGCAGCAATCTGATTGGCTGAGGAGCGATAATGAGATGCTCGGGGCTCACCACTCTCTACGTTTTTCGAGTTGTCCGTGTCTCTGTAATTAGTTCATTTGAAACGGCACTCCATGTGGTAAAAGGGGAGGTTTAGGGATCCGTTTACGCAAATCGGATCCGGTACGCACTGCGCGTACGTGAGTGTTCTGTGATTGCGCATGCGCAGTTCATATCGGAGGGCCCACCGGATCGCACATCCATCGGATGTGCGAAAACGGATCACTAAAACTCTATTTTCTCCGTCGACGGTTCCGTCCCATGGGCCATGCAAACGCTGTCTAGAGACGTGCTCGAAGCATTTGTACGCACGAAGCAGACGTGCCTCCAACAAGCCCGAGGCGCGTGTACTCCGCAGACAGTTTTGTCATCGCGTTTGCAGGGAACCGTGCGTCTTATGTACGATATACGTACAACGTGACTGGTCGGTAGTCGACGTATTTTAGGAAAGGGGTTTATTTTTCTCCAGATATAACCCCTGTCTTCTACAATAAAAATCTAACAGTTAAAAAAAAAAAGATTTGCACACATATAATGAGAAGTTCCTGTTACTATGTCTGGTACATATGTTTATGATACATTTTCAATGCCTCGTTCGATCAATTTCCTCTTTCATGGTTTTTAATTTTTTTTTTTGTACTGTATATATAATTTCCTTAAAAATAAGGCCCTCTTTTTAAATATGTCCTATTCCCGTTCTCCAATATCTGGGAAGAATTAACGCTCCTCAATATTCATGGCGGGTAAATATATTTTTCCCGGTTTGCGAAGCCACTATTCGCCGAAAGTATCTCCCTGAAATGTTTTCTGAAGTAACCCAACTCAATAAGGTAGTTCTTGCCGGCCAATTTTGAAAAGCTTTTATTTTTTTTACCAATCAAGTGCTTACTTCAAAAACACCATTTTTTTGTTTACCTGTCTTTTGTTTCTATCGCCCTACAGTATGCCTATAGTTCATAATTAGCCGAACTCTTACCAGGAAACCTTCATCATTGAAGTGTTTTTATTGTATGCACCGACAACCTAAAAAACCTAGGACGTGACGAGTTTCGATTTTTTCATCCTGGTCATCGCTTTTCAGCCAATCGGATTGGAACCACAGCCGATCATAACGACAAAGACCCAACTACAAAGCGAGAAGCATGACCTTAAAGGAGCGATGCAACAATTTTTGTACTTTGCGCAAATACAGCTTAAAACGGATCCCTAACCTTAATGACCTATGAAACACGCGTTCGTTCTTCACCCCACGCAATAGAAGTCCCAGAAAAAAAATTAAGAAAAACGAGCAGCGTTCACCCCCTCAACTCACAGCCAGAATAAGCGGCCACGTGATCTGGAGCCGATTATATGCCGCCAGTGCTGATCATAGCCACGCGCTGGGGTTGGCAAAGCGCAGGACACGCGCTGAGTTCCAGACATTGTTATGGCACGGCTGTTGTCGTCGTTGCAGCGATTGGACACGGGTCACTACCCGAATGCTTATTGAGCTAGCAATTATCACGAGCCCAAGTCGAGTGCCCACGCAATGCTCGGGTCCAATCTATGAACCGCATATAAATATCGTCACTTGGGTGTACTGCGATCCCCACGTTACGTCATCAAATTTTGCAAAGGAGAGATTGAATGAAAATGATCGCCTTTTTCCTTGAAATTACACCGCAACAAAGGAGTTTCTTAGCCAGTGGCCTTGCGTGTGGGTATCCTTGAGTCCCAGGTGTGCCAGTAAGCTCGTGTAGAGTGAAAAACATTCCAATTGAATATCGTTGCACCGGTCCTTTAATAGGCCCCGCCCTTCATCTCTTAAGTCGTTTCTTATGTTGTCAGTGACGATACAGGGCCAAATCGGAAAATCAAAACGCATTTTTTTTTTGTTTTTCCTAGCAAAAATCTATTACTGATCGCAGTAAGCTGAAACTCCGTGAGGGTGTTTCAGTAGGTGAATGTGATAAAATGTGAAAGTTTAAGAACATGATGTTACCCGTTGATCAAAAGATACGGGAGAAAATCTACATCTTCTGAACGAGCCGACATCCACCTTAGACTTATATTCATCATGCCAAAATATGACAATATGTTCGCCTGTAACGTTAAATGCAAAAAAAAAAAAAAAAAAAGATATATAACAACAAGAAAGAGGATATTGTTTCCTTTCTGTTTGACAAGCTTTTTCGAGGAAAACAAATGCTGCGGTCGCCCCCAATATCATTTCTTGCTTTGATGAATATTAGGCTTAGGTGAACCTCGGCTCATCGAGAAATTTTGTTTTCCTCCCGTATCGTTCGATCCAGGTAACGTCACGTTCTCAAATTCACGTATTTTGTCCCCACGACCATAGCGTCACATTCTCACAGACTTTCATATTTCTGCGGTTCACAGTTCATTTTTACAGCCCCCCTCCACCCCCCTTCCCCCCTCCCCCCCCAAAAAAAGGGATTTTGGTCGATTGGGCCCTGTAGAAGATTATGACATATTTGGATCGCACAAGAAATATTTGTAGGGACGAAATAGGCCGGAGGCAAGCCGTCTGGAGCATTTATTTTCTTAAAGGAAAGAGTGAAATGCATAAGGCAGCCAATGTCAGCAAAATCTTCGGGCTCGTGGTGATGCCGCCGTTCCCGTCGTTGCAGTCGATTCTGCTGCAATTCTTCAAATCAAGAGGAGTGGTGATGCCGTCGTTCCCGTCGTTGCTGTCGATTCTGCTGCAATTCTTCAAGTTAAGATGAGTGTTGAACAAGTCGTGCACGGCTTTCATCTCAGGACTGTCTCGAGTACACTTTGTTGTCGCATTCAGGAAGCAATTGTAGTGGTCATGGCTGCGAGAAATTAAAGGAATACGGGATCAAAAAATTACCGAGGTAAAGCTTCCACGTATTTATGAATATAACCACTTTTAACATCGTGAATGTTTCATCCAAGATCTGATGCTCTCAGTTAACGTTGCCTCAAACAGCATTTCGTATTAGGGTGAAGTAAGTTAAAGCTTACAACATAAAGTTCTATCCGTCCATATTAAAACGGCTAAGGATATGATCCTCAAGTAAACATTTATTTATTTTGTTTTAGAGCGCAGCTCTTAGGCGCCCGTTCCCGGCTTGAGCGGCGTCGGCGTCGCCGTTGGCGTCGCCGTCGGCGTCGGCGTAACCGCGCGGTGCATTATGGGTAAATTTCCCCGCTAAATCTAGCGGAAAAAATTTCCCCGCTAAATCTAGCGGAAAAAATTTCCCCGCTAAATTTAGCGGAAACAATTTCCCCGCTAAATCTAGCGGAAAAAAATTTCCCCGCTAAATTTAGCGGAAAAACTTTCCCCGCTAAATCTAGCGGAAATTTTTTTCTGGGGGTCACGTGACCCCCTGAGGTCACGTGACCCCGTGGTCACGTGACACCCCCAGGTCACGTGACCCCCACGTGACCTTGGGGAGGGGATGTGACCCCACTGTCACGTGACCACCCCCCCTCGAGGTCACTTGACCCCCCCCCCCCCCCCTGAAAACACGTGAACCTCAGTACCCTTCCCTCCTCCTCCTCAAGAGCTGCGCTCTAATTCGGCGTTACAGGGAGTTGTAAACGGCTTTCATTTTTTTTTATTCTTTCATAACTATTTTGTATTAAAGCATGTATGACTTTTTAACGGAATCTCCTATCACAAACATTTGCCAATCCGTCCTTTCATTCGCTTGTTTAGGCATTTTCCCTCTATATTCACCTGGAAAAGTGACGTCACAAAACATTTTGATGTCACTGGGCATCACGACATGACTTCGTGACTTTGCGTGACGTGAGATCACGGGACTCAAGGTCAGTGATGACAATTTCTCCGTTAAATCTAAAGGGGAAATTGATGTCACGCGACCTGACATTACGTGACATAAAGTCACGTACGTTACGCCAACTTTTACGCTAAATTCGGTTAAGAAATTAATAAACAATACTTTTTCACTTTCCGAGACGTCTTCTTAGTATCTTAGCAAATTCAAAAAAATCCCTTCTTATATAAAGCATGCCATGCATTGCAGGACTTTAGAGATAAAGGTCAAAGGTAATTAGTAATATTTAGTGCAGGCAATAATTACTTCTCAATATATATGTCAAAGATATCCTGCCAAAGTCCATAGTCAAGTCATCTCAAAGCAAACTTCTACTGGTTTGAAAAATATCGGTCTAAAAAATTTGACTAACTTTTCCTCATCTCATATTCACCTAAGAATGGTAAGCGTCTTTAACAAAAGAGTGCCACTGATGCACCCTTCTGTTAAATAATTTTATCCTCCCTGAAAGAAAAAAAACAATTTAGCTTACAAAAAGAATTGAAAAAAAAACTTCTCCTAAGCATTCTTTCTTTACAGCCCGAAATAGCGTTTGACAGAATAAAAATAGTTATCATTTATGTATTCGTTAAATTAACACCAACCGGTCCAGCGCATTACCAAATTGGTTTTCTCAATGTCTTTCTCTACCACATAGGCATGATTCTGGTATTTTGCTTAAATATTATGACTAAACGACTTTTTTAAATATTTGTACAACAGGTCCATGCTTACGTAGTTTTTAGTCATTAAAACTAAACTTAGTTTAGCGTACTAAAACCGCCCACCGTACAGCAGCCACCTTAAATGACCCCTTCTCTTTTAGTTGTCGTTACCTGCAGAGGTCGTATGACGCAAGCTTGACGCAGGATTCCATGGCATTTTTGTCCAGGCACTGATTCAGCTCAAGCGCACCTAGAAATGCGAAAGGTTGTTCAAGCTAATTACGCACATCTTTTATTTTATTTTCTACTAAACATTTTAGCGAGAATAAGCTCCGCGTGTAGCATGACTTCTTTAATTGTTTTTTTGTAATACACTCGTAGGGCGCTTTAACTTATGAGTTAGAGTTTTATGCGTACACAGCGTGGGAGCACGAGCATGCGATTGCCGACTTTCAATTTTTTCTTGGCAACAATTGAATCGCTTTTGACAAAACTGGTCATCTTGTTTAGATTGCTTATATGGAGCTCCAACCTAAGTGATAAAAGATTCGCGCACGTCGATACCCTGTCTCGGTAAATTTCTGAAAGCGTCGAAGCCGTGTTCGCGCTGCGTCGTGTAACGCATACAGTGCTCAGCTCACCTGCCTTAATTTCACCTTGTTCTTTCTGAGATTAACGAATTCGGAGCTGCAAACTGTATGCTGCAATGCACGTGGTCAGCAGCAAGGCCACCACAATGAGCCCCCGATATGCCATCGATGCAAGTAATGTGTACCGAACACACTAAAGCCGTTGGAGGCCGAATAAACGCGGAGGTCCCGGGCCACCTTATTAGCGCCCCTCAGCCAATCACGCAGCACCATTAGTATATACGAATGTTTAAAGAAGGATTCCGCAAGGTAAAGCGTTTACACAACAAGCCATGCCCTCAATGTCTTATGCTGCCCTTTTCTATAAGTGTGGATGATCTCATGGGAGGTTTTTTTCGCGGCGGCCGAGAACCGAGCGGAGACCACAGCAATTTTTCGGGCCAAGACATCAACACTTAGATTAATCAAAACCTGCGCAATAGGATTTTGACGTCATCGCAGTGAGATCGAGCGAAGTCCCTGATTGGACACGAGAGCCGCGTCAGCGTTCGGCTGGGACTCGTCTCCAATCAACGCGTCGAAGGATACTCGGCTTCAGGCTCTGGCCCAATTGCAAAGTCGGCGCCATCCGGGTGCGGGGACGTTGCATGGAAGGAGAAGAGGCTTTTCACAGGTATTGATTATTCTGCAGTTCGTTTCGCTCTAAGTCCGACCGCATTCGACGCTACAGCCTGATGGAGCCAATCAAGAAAGCGGAAAAAGTTCACATTTCACGCGGATCTCAGACTGTGAATAAATACCTTTCAATAATCACAAAGTTTTGATTCTAACAATTTAGCACGAGTGTTAACCACGGGCTGATCTCAAAACGAAACGTACGGACCCTTATACACATTGAGTAAGATGAACTCACTTGTATGGAGGTTTGGGTCGCAGATGTGGGTACGAAGGGAAGCAAAGTCACTTTTCAGATATTGGAGTCTTTGCTTGGATTCGTCCGAGCATCCTCCAGTCTCCATGTATTTAGTGCAAAAATCAACAGACTCCAAAACGCTGAAAGCGAAGGTCAAATTAGTCACAATATATGAGAGCAAGCGCAACTTGCTTCTTTATGTTCTCACGAGCGTAATGACAAAGTTATCATTTGTTTCAAACCAAAGTTTAATTTAAGTTTTAAGAATTTAAGCTGTGGCACGTTAAAATGGATAATGCGGAGTCTTGAACACGAGATATGAGTGAGGCATATGATAAAAAGACACACACAATGTCACTTGGAAAAGTACTTACACTCGCAGGTCTGTAAATAGGGGGCAATGAGCAGCCTGTGTTTCTTTTTTTCACAGTGTGTTTTGTCGTTGCCTATGGAGGTTTTATGTGCGTGTAAACTGCGAGATGTGCGCAGCAGAAATTTTTTAGCAGTTGTGCTTTCCAGTCATTGATTGAAACACTTGCTCATGTCATATCAAGAGCTGTTCACTCCGTCTCCGAGAATACTAGTTTACTTAAATATTTTCATGCCGTCACATCAGTGAAATATTGCAAAAAAGAAATATCAACATGATTCAAAACATTAAACAATTTTACACCCTATATACAATTCCTTGAGAACACAAACGCAAGTATACAGATGATTTTGTCCATGGAGTAGTCAACAGGGTGTGAAATTGTTAGGATTCCATGCAATTTGTTACATTCGACAACGAATAGAGAGGAAACAAATACATGAACTGGATACTCAAGTAATGAACGCGCGTAAGAGGAACGGGCGTTTAGGCGGCCTGAAGAACTAATATACTTCGTGGTATCAACGTTTCAGGTTTTCGAGAATACTTTTGAATAAAACGTTCAAGCCATGTTCCCGCGCTCTTTCCCTCACTGTCACGTACGTAATTCCAAGGCAATGTAAGTATGCACGAGCCAGTAGGTATGGCCCCACACGAATTAGAGGCCAGACGGACGAGCTGGTAACCTTTCACCATGTTGAAACAGACTGAAGGTGTTTTTATTGCTGAAGCAACGTACCAAGCTAAGATCAGAAGGTGAAGAGGAATTGCAACGGCCAGGGTCTATATGAGGTTACAACCGCCACAAAGTCCAGTGTGGACGGAGTTAGCAGTGCCGGGCATCACGCTTCCTATATGGCGGACTGTGCCTTTTGTCAGGCACCTGTCTCTACCTCTAGGTGTGCGAAACCGAAAGAGAGCTGGTCAGGACAGCCATTCAAGCAGTACCGAAATAGTCCGTGGGAGGGTACGTGGGCTGATTCAGCTTTGACGACAGGGAGGCCCGAAACTGAGCTGGGCTTTGAGTGAAGTCTCAGCGGGACGCTGAGGCTTCACCTAAACAGAAGCTCAAACCGCCTGTCTAGACAAGACTTTTTAAATATTTGTGGCAAAAATGTGTCTAATGGAAACTCTTGAGCTGCACCAGGTAGAATTTGGGACGTAATATTTCCTTAAAATGAACTTCGTCACTGTTCATGATCCCGGGTGTTGCTGCAGCATCGGGAAATTACAGCCCCGGTACCTTCCTTTGCGAGTCTGCCCAAAACGCGGCAAAAATCGCGGTAAAAAAAGAAGAAAAAAACTAACTGCCTAAGTGCGGCCCACAGCTACAATGCCAAATGCCCCAAATAGCACCAAGAATGCATGGGAGAGGCTTATACTTCATTCACGTCGTTCATGTGTTCTATCTTGAGTGGAAAAGCGGCGAATCCTTGTGGTGATATCTGGCAACAATTGTCTGAGCAGGCATTATAAATATACAAGAGGCAATGGCGGAGGGCAAAGTCAGCCTGTCATATTTGCAGTGAATAAACATTATCGCTTTTCGCTGCACATTTCCCAACATATTGGCGTTGAGTTTCGCGAATGAGTTTTCCGCTCATTATTTTGAAGAATGAGAATCTATTGATAACAAGTCATAAGGAATACATAGGTGTAATGACTTCTTAAAGTGTTTGATTATCTTATCAATTGACTAGACCCTCAACTCCAAGTATGCCATTAAAATATATATTTCTTATATTTTAATATTTCCGATCAGTTGCACGATTCTGAGCAGATGGGCGGGCGTATAATATTGCTTGATGGCCTTTCTGAGAGCATGTTATCTTCTGCCCTCTTTTCCGCCCTGTCTTTCTCCGAGACGATGCTTGCATCTTGACGATAAAATTTAAGAAACTGTACTCACTTGCAGTCTTTAGCGAGCGATTTGTCGTCATGAGTGTCTGGAAATCGGACATTTTCCACGGCCCTCTCGAAACATCCCAAATATCGTTCGGCATCGCAGCGTTGTTTGCCCGAAGAACCTTTAAAAAAAGAAGTTAAATCAACTAATTGTGAAACTTTTGAAAAAGTAAATTTTCCCCTCTCTAGTTTTTCTAAAGTTGAAGCAGGTGGAATACCACTTTAAACATGCGTATTGACACGACGAATAATCTTAAGCCTATGGTCACTGTCAACTAAATAAACGCAGAGTATGGCTCAACATATTCTTGTCTCTTGCTTCGTCATTGGTTCTTTGACGTTCTTGTAAGCTAATACCGCAATCGAATTGGCTGATAAGTGATCAGGAAGTATCGGGGAATCGCCAAACCCTGCAATTCTTGCGTCGTCAGGGACTAGAGTTAGAAATAAATGGTATTTCAGAAGTGTTGTCCCAAAACATGAGAGAGCTCAGATCAGCGTTCTATTGCTCTACTTATTCTAATAAAAAAAATACATTTTTTTATAAGGAATAATAGCTTTAATGGCTCACATCACACCCCTTAGCCGCGATTCGTGTCCGCTATTGAGCAGCACACTCCTTGGAGGAGAGAAACGGAGTGCTTTATTAAAATGTTAATTATTTTTCCTATTTTTTTTTAATATTTCGGCTTTTTAAGAGGCAGGCATTTTTTTTTATAAATATCCTCTAAAATTTTTACGTTTCCTGCCATGTCCAGATCAAGTAATGTGAGAGTCAAAATATACCTTATTGATGCATTAATTAATTAATTAATTTATTTATTAATTTATTTTTTGGTAGTTTTATGTGCTCACGAACTAATATTTCAATAAATATATGGGAAATAAGCGGGTTAGGATAGTTTTTAGAGTATATTAATTAGAACTGAAACACCATCTGCAAAATGATATAATATATAAGACATTAGTCTAGATTACAGATTATATAAAATAAATATTAAATTTTATTACGTATATTGTTTTATTAGACTAAGCTCTCCCGCTCGTTTGAGAAGTACAGGGCGATGCATTTCACATTGCTTCATTTCTCAAAGTCGTCATTTTATTCCATATTCATATTTTATAGCGGAAGGTGGAACATCTTGTCCTTCATCTCTGTGCAATTACAAGCTTGCATTTTATACTCATTGTTTGTGTCTCATTTTGCGACGCTATCCTAGTGAAGCTGCCGCCGCAGGAGGCTTGTTCTCTGTCAACTCTCCTCAAAAGACAAAAGTAAGGGATCTCTCTTTTTTTTTTTTGCTAATATTCTTTGTTCTGTTATTATTACGCAATGATTTCACGCATTTGTACTCACCGTCAAAACGTGGGCAGTTGTACAGGTCAAGATTGGTGTTGTAAACGTCCTTCACCGCCTTCGTGGCAAGACTCGTGGATAGACAGCCTTCGCCGGACTTTAAATAACACGCATATCCTCCATATCTGACAAAAGCAAAGATGACGTCTCTACCTACTTTCGTTCATAGGTTCTATAGAATTTGTCAAAGCAAAGGCCATTACGGTTATTGAAGAATTTTATTTTAGAGCGCAGCTCTTAGGGGCCCGTTTCCAGCCTGAGCGGCGTCGGCGTCGGCGTCGGGGGGGTCACGTGACCCCCCCCCCCCCGAGATCACGTGACCCGCCCCCGAGGTCACGTGACCCCCCCCCCCCCCCCGAGATCACGTGACCCCCCCCCCCCCCCCCCCCGAGGTCACGTGACCCCCCCTCCGATGTGACGTGACCCCCCCCCCCCCCCCCCCCCCGACGGTCACGTGACTACCCGCAGGTGACGTGACTCCTCCTCAAGAGCTGCGCTCCAATTCGGCGTTACAGGGATTTGTAAACGGCTTTCATTTTTGTTCTTATCAAAACTTGCTTTTCAGGTGTTCCTCGTTACGGGGAACTCTCGTAACCTTATTATATATCAACCTTTTTCACTTAAACATTCTCTGCGTCTTCTTTAAACTTTACGCTTTGCAATAAACTGGCCTCAATAAAAAAATTCGAATACGTTGATGTTATGATGCTTCAAGCGACCCTTTTAAAAAGTCGACGGCTGACCGCCATTGCTTGCTCACATACCCTGAGCATGGATTAGACACGATTGTGAGGTCACCGTTTGGCAAGGACTCGGGTCCAATCACGCTCTTCGTTTCCAAGCAATGGCGACTGCCAATGTTGTTTGATGGACGTTTGAAAAGGGGTCTATTAAAACACGACCAACAATAATGACAATAATTTTTTTTTTCTATAATAGGATTCACACCTAAAATAACGCAACGATATTAGTTCATTGCACAGCCTGCTCATACAGCTGCATTACTACTCACTCATCCCCCAATCGCCTGCTCGAATCCAGAGATCTGATTGCGCGCGAAGAACCCAGATGAAGTATATATATATATATATATTATGAATTGTTTAGCCCGCTTAAATGACCTATGAAAATATCCTTCAGATCGCAACCATGGTGTAATAATTTTAACATAAAAAATCTAAAATAACATTCGAAGCGGTGGCGACAAATCTTAAACTTAGGTCTAAATGTTGCGAGTCATAACGACATTAAGCTTCAGAAGTAGTCAGAGAAGAAACCTTTACCTTATGAAGAATAGGTCAATTACGATCTCTCGCACAAAATCAAGCAATCTAATTGAATACTTTTTTTACCTGGAGTACGTGTAATTAATTGTAATGGAGAAATATTTTTGTAAACAGTTTAAGAAAGCGCAAAAGATAGTTACAACTCATTACGCGTGAACATCAAAAGCACTCCCTTCGTTTCATGCGCTGTCACTGCTTGAATGTGAGGTTCTGTGTCTTCACAAGAATGATCGCGGATGAATTCGTGCTGACATTACCTGCATTCTTTTTCATCTCGGGTAAGACGGCCAGTTTCTTCAAGTGTTTTCCGTTCATAATTGTATTCACGAAGGCACACATCAAGCATCGTCTTGTTGAGACAGCGGTTCCATTCATTCATGCCTGTAAAGATCGCATTCATTGAGCACATATTGCTGCATTGCACTCCAGTGAGGTAAACGACAAGCCATAGTACGTGGTTCCAAAGGCGTTTGCAAAGACCGTCGAAACGTGACACTCTTTGTGCATATTTGCCTCCAAGATGCGACGTTTCCGGTGCTGGCAAGCACCCAAAACTTTTTAGCTATAGAAATAATTTAAGGCTTTTATTTCTTGTACAGGGTGTGTCCGAAAAACCTCTACAGTGTTCTCTTCGCCTTAGAAATAAACTACAAATCGTGGAACGCTCAATCTCCCCGCAAGAGTAGCGCTAGTGGTCCAGACCAGATACCATAGTTTTCAGAAGTAACCATTTCCTTATTCAAAAGTTATGAGTGATCTTTTTTTCTTTTTTTACTTTTACCAGGAAACGCGGGCCCGTTGCCGGCAGTCGACGCCTCTAACCCCGTGCTTTTACGCGCTTCGCAAGGTCTCACTTTTCAAGTCCCGCTTGAGGAAGAAGGGTCCCCCTTCGAAACGTCGCGGTTTCTGTATAACTTACACATGTTGGATTAAACCTTCCAAGTTTGTTTGACCCTCGGTGCTTCTACTTTTATAAAAAATACGCCTACAGCCTACTTAGCCCCAAGATGTCATTATATATATATATATTGTTTGGGGGGGGGGGGGGGGGGGGGGGGGCATCATGCTGCATTTGAAGTAAAGTCACGGAGTGTTGATTTATGCTTCATATAATGTGTGCTTTCCAAGAAAAGTACAACTCTCGATTTCCCAATGTCCGTTTTTCTAGACTTGTGTCACAAAAATATCCTCGCAAAAATAGGAGATTTTTATGACGGAGCTGTTAAGGAGTAGTTTCATCAGGATCGCGTCCCCGCGAAGAAATTAAGGCACCGAACTCTGGACACATACCGCCATCTATGAGCGATGGCGGCAAGCCACGTATCTGGTTGCCGTCGTCGCTCAAAGATGGCGGCAGCTTTTCCACTCTGACTCGCCGACTTCCGGCCGGCCATTACTTTCCATTGTACAGCTTCGCTGATCTTCCTTCTTCACCAGAATGGAAAGGCTGAATGTTTTTTTTTTCTTCTTTTGTTCCGGTACCACGCGCTTTTGTACTTCGTTTTCCCAGTACGTTGTCGGGGATACGTGTCAGAATTTTGTGTTTAGAGTTTAGCGTCCTATTCTGCCCGTGCATAGAAACTTTCCCAGACTGGCAACAAACGACGCCACACAAGCCGCAGCGTCATGCCGTCGCATGTCGCGATCCTGGCGTCTTGGTCGTAACATTTCCGGCGACAAGTACGAGCCAATTCGAGTGTCGCTGCGGTCACGGCGTCCCAACTCCTGGCCGCCGAAGCTTCCGTGTGTTGTTGAGCTGGAGAGCGAACTGCAGCTAATCAGGTGCCGGCCACGTACACAACCGCTGCCGTGACACCGCCAGGATCGCGGTCGGCAGCAGGGTGACACTTCGAAGGACCGCCTTTTTCTTTTTATGACGGTGTCAACACATCCGTCGGAGAAGCGTTCCAGGCACCATACAGCTGTTCGCGACTATAGCAACAAAATGGCTGATTGCGTTCATGTGAAAACGCTCAATTGTTTTTAAAACAACATCTGGCCACTTTTTACTGAGAGAAGCGATGTCTGCTGTGAACAGGGTGTCCCCCAAAACAATTTACGAGGTTTTATTTACCGCAAACTTCAACTGCTCATCACGGGAGGCTCATCTTCCGGCCAAATGTAGCGATAGTGGTCCGAAACAGATGCGAAATGTTTCAGAATTAACCGTTATCATCTTCAGAAGTTATAAGTGATTTTCTAAATATTTTTTGGGAAAATCGGGCCCATTTTTTGCCCGTTTTCGGGAATAAGCACGAAAAAGCTCAATGTATTCGACAGCTCTGTCGACCACCATTTTATCATTGAAAATTTCAGAAAACCACAAATGACTTTTGAATTAGGCAATGGTTATTGCAGAAACGTCGGCCTCTAGTTCGAACCTCTAGCGCTAGATTTTGGGCGGAGAATGAGCGAGCAGCGATGCGTAGCTCTTTTGTTTGATTTTTTTCTCGCTAAAAACAAATCTTTAAAAAAAAATTGGGACGCCCTGTATATAAGATAAAAGCAAATCGGTGTTTACAACTGTACTCTGGCTGGGACATAATCTTTAGTACAAGAAATTTGTAAAGAGAACTTGTGTTAAATAAATTGTGAGCAAAAAAAAGACCGAAAAAACTACGATGTGGCTTGTTGGACACTTCCGGTATACGCCGCCACCATGATAAATATTTTATATACTTTTCTTTACCAAATATTAGTTTATGAATGAATGAGTAGAGCACATGCTTACTCTGGAAGAGATTTTCGTGACATAAAGAGTCTCTTGTTGAACGAAGCCCGTCTTTAAGGAGTTGGAGCTCGCGTCTTTCTTCTTCTGGGCAGCCGTCGATCTTTAGATCATTTACGCATGCAGATATGGCGTCCGCATTCCTGGGAACAAGATTTTCAAAGAGTTACTGAGACCAGTGAAACAGTGGTTAGCGCATATGAATCTGGCTTGAGGACCGAGGCAGGAATGAGAATCAGAAAACATTACGTCTGCAGCGAGAGCTTTGTGCTGGTAGCTCCCCGGTCGTTTCTTGCTAGTATTGGTGTGAACGCAAGACGTCGCAATATCACGTGACATTAATTTTGCCGCTGAACTTCGAGAAAAATTTATCTCGCGGGACATGGTGTCACACGAGGTTATGTCATGTGGCCCCAGTTTGCACGCTAAACTAGACAAATGACGTTAAAGCTTGAAGTCGTTTTGACGTGTGACGCCACCTGGCGTCAATTTCACCGCTAAATATAGCATAAAAATTGACGTCACGTTATCCGAGGTGTCATTACGTGGTCGCGAGCGCAACCACGTAATGACCTCAACCTGAGCGAATCATGGTTCCACCTGACGCGATGTCATTGTTTCGTGTGACGTCATATGTTACGCAACGTCACAATGTCACGTGATGCCCCAATGGCGAGGCGTAATAAATTACGGTTAAATTTAGAAGGAAAATGTCCCCGCTCAATTACAATAGCAAGGGCTGCTTGATGAAAAAACCCACCAAGTGTAATCGCAGCTTCACTGTGTTTGGCGGAATGTCTAAGCCAGGTAATTCTTCGTTGAAAGTAATCCATAATTGTGTTACAGTGACTTATTCGTCAAGCAGCTAAAGAAGATTTCACTATCTGTGTTCGAAACGAAGAATCCTGTATGGTAGGCTAATCCTGTGCAGGAGTATATACGTGCACAGTACACTAAGTATACGCGCAATCAAGTTACTTGTGGCCGCTCACTTTATGAACTAATTTCTAATATGTAGATTACATTTATTAGGAAGTTGCCACAACAGTAATTTTATTACTTTTGGAAGCTCTACAACTGCTCGTAACTGTTACTATTTTCCTTCCCACCTCTAATGTCGCCCTCTGTACAAGTTTCCTGCCAAGAAATCCTCGACCCAAATCTCTGGCTGGAGGGTGGTTTACCAGAACCGGTGGTTAAAGAAGTATACAAGTTGTTTATAAATCGGTGATTATAATTCAATGATGGACAGTGCGAAAGACCCGTTTTAAAACGGCAGAAAATTCAGCTATTTTTTAAATTCCGAAGAAATAGAAGTAGTGGTTACTATTTCAAGTAACGACCAATTACTTCTATTTTCAAGTAATGAAGTAATATAATGGAATACTTCTTAACCAGTGGTAATTGTAATCGTAATCCTTCAGTTTTTTTCTTTTTTGGAGCTGAGCTCTTAGGCGCCTGTTTCCGGCTTGAGCGGCGTCGCCGTCGGCGTCGGCGGCGGCGTAACCGTGCGGTGCATTATGGGACGCGTGACGTCACTGGTGACGTCACTGATGAACGTCGTCAGAGACTTCATCGCGGTGACGTCATCACGATGACGTCATCCTCATCGTCATTATCACGATGACGTCACTTATAGCGTCATCACGATGACGTCACGTGACCTCACGGTAGTCAAGTGAACTCACGGTTACGCCGACGGCGACGCCGACGTCGCTAGGAGGGAGGAGTAGTACGCAGGATGAGGAGGTGAGGAGGAGGGGTATACGCTCCCCTCAGTACCCTTCTCTCCTCCTCCTCAAGAGCTGCGCTCCAATTCGGTGTTACATGGGGTTGTAAGCGACCCTCATTTTTTTCTCACTAACTTGCACAACACCGTGTAGGATTAAGGACACTTACGTGCAATCCCTTTTGAGAGAATTCACCGTGAAGGATGTAATCTCGAACGTCACTTTATCCGCACCCTCAGGGAGGCAGGGACTTGATGCAAACTTTTCACATGTTGGAGCGTCGCAGGCACCTTCAAATAAAATAAAAATTGCGATAATTTTACTTCTTACTTACGCTCATGTGATAGAATAATTAATAAACGCGTGATCGAAATAATTCCAAGAATGTGATAGGTGACTATCTTTCGTAAATAGGGCGTAGATTCGTTCTCGCAAATACCGACACACTAGCTCCCTGTCTCCTAGGGAACATCATATGCCGTGCAGGCGTCCACAAACCAAAGATTCGGCATACTTAGCCGTGGTGACAAACACCAAAAAGGTGTGCAAGAACTTACCATGTTCGACGAGGAAGGCGCACAAGCAGGTCATCCATACTGCGCAGTTCCAGAATCGGGAGGCCATTTTGCGGTGTGAGCGGATATCTCTCTCTGACCTGGTTGTAAGCTCGCCGACGCTTAATATCGGCGTTCGCCGTCAGGCACCTCTCCCTGATAAGAACGATAAGGGCCGTCATTTTTTTTTTTCTCCGTCACTGCGTTTTTTTTTTATGTGTACGCGTGTGATTGTATACCAAGTATTATATCAGAGGAATGCCTAGATATGATCCTGAGTCACAAAGAAGCGCTGCGAGGTGAAATAATCGCTGGCTTGCGCTGAGGGACGTAACACCTCCGCTTGCCAATGATCTGCCTGGTCGAAATTGCAATTTCGTAGCGGTGCCAAGTTAACCTCCGTTCTTCTCTAAATTCCAGCGGAACGCTTGTTCCGACGGAGCCAATCAAAAGCAGCGCCGAAAGTTCCTCCTCACGGTGCTTCTTGTCTTTTCGCGTTTGAAATTTCGGGATGAACCGATCGCGCACACGAAAAAGAGCGCAGGATCACACGGAGCCTCCTGTCTGCTTGATTGGAATGGCCGTTGATATATCAAACGCAGAAAGACGACGATATCACCCAGGAGATGCGCTTTTGCCCTCCTTGATTGGCTCCCTGAGATTGTCGGTTGCGTTTCGACTTGAACCATAGTAGAAGTTAGCTTCGCTGCATCCATTGGTTACGTATATAGCGCACCAACTCTTAGAAAACGGCAATGTGCGTACAAAAACGTATCTTTATTACTATCTTTTTTTTTTTTTGTTTTTGCTCGTTAAAGACAGTACTGAAAACAACTATGACCGAGTCTTTATTGACGCGATAGGGTTAGGGAGCAGAAGAACGGGCGTAGGTGGCGTTGTGACGGAAAAATCCTGATTGGTCAATAGGGTCATGACGTCGCAGCCGCATGACGTAGCGCGGGAACTTCAAACAACCCACAACGCTCACGTGAAATGGGACGTCACGCGTGGGATAAAAGTGATTAAGAAAACGTTACATGTAATGCGAATTAAAGGTCGCCGCATGTCCTGAATGATGGTCGCTTCATAAAGTAATCGAATTGCCTTAAAGACAACATTTTAAGAATTTTAGGTGGGATTCAAACCCGCGACCCTTCGAATGCGAGCCAGACGTGCTATATACTGGCGAGGCCACCGTGTCCGCCGCACTTCCTGCTCATAGGCAGCAGGAGCATGAGAAGGCAATGAGAACGCCAATGCAAACGGGGCGCGATAACGCTATCGTGTTCCACCCTTAAAGGCGAGGCTTAAGTATCCTCTAAGGTTTTTTTTTTTTTTTCGCAGGGTTCTCGTAACGTTCGTGGGCACATACAAAAGGAAAAAAAAAGGTAATTATAAATATTTTTTTGAAATCGACACTACTCTCTACTGAAGAAATGGATGGCGTGGATTACTTTGTTTCCACCCCCTGCTTCATTATCGGTTCTTCGGTGTTCTTACCGGCAAATGCAGCAATCTGATTGACTGAGGTGAGATAATGAGATGTTTGGAACCCGCCATGCCCCATCATTTCTGGAGTTGTCGGCGACTCTGAAATTGGTTAATTTGAATCGGTGAATAGTTTGTAATTTTGTACAAACAGTCTAAATAGACTCGGGCAATTCACGATTCGAATGAACTCGCAAACAATATTGTCTTTTTACCATCTTTTCATGAATTTGTTACAGGAGTTGACATGCATTTGTTTTTCTTTTTTACAGATTGTTGTACGGTTTGACTGGCGTTTTGTTTTTTCTAATTTGTGTCGTAACCACTTCTACTATGGCTCATTGAGCGGGAAAGGTACAGTTCTGCATAAACAAATAAACACGCGGTGTAAAGCCGTGGAGAAGGTACTAATACGTCGTGCAAAAGACAGTCGGCAGACAGGAGAGAGTTTTAGGGAACCTTTTTTTGCACATCCTAGAATGGTACGATGGAGACTCTCCGGTACGCACTGCCAATGCGCTCCCACAAAACACTCACACATGCACATCGGATGGGCCAACACGGTTTCCTAAAACTATCTACTGTCTGAGGCGAGTCTGTTCCTTGTGTGACTCTCCTGCTACATTGATCCTACGAAAACGGTCTGCGGACGTGTTCGAAATGTACAAAAATGTGCGAAGCCAGCATATTCCGAAGATTCTCGAAGTGCGCCCACAGATACTTGCCTCCTCATGTTTGCAGCGAATGATGTGAGAGAAGTGTGACGAATCGATCGCTGATGATACTTAAGATAATGCTCTCATGTTCAGAGATAAGCGAGCATGATCAACTCAATCTGCTAATGACGATAGCACGTTTGTATTTTGAACGAATGGCTATATTTTGTTTCTTCATTCCAAAGCATCGATCCCAGCGAGAGCTCGAGGATCAGCCATCGGGGAGCGCGATGAATCACGGGAGAAGTGACGTCAACTGGCCCAGGACGGGCAAAGCTGTTTGGGGGACTGGCGTGGTCATGAACTCCGCCACTTGGTGTCGTCAACGCCTTACAACCTGACCGTTTTAGGGGCGATGCTCCTTAGGGTCTAGCCTTGTCCGGCGTCCGCACTCACATCGATTGCCATCCCATTTGTCTTCTTAAAAAAGGAAAAAATGTTTGCGCAGTCGACAGGATTCGAACCTGTGCGGAGAGACCCCAAGGGATTTCTAGTTTATCGCCTTAACCACTCGGCCACGACTGCGGGACGAGTAGGGGGCTCTGAGGTGTGGTAGTAACTCAAGAGCTGGAGATGTCATGGATGAAACGTTGCATGTATACGCTCAACGTCTATACAGGAGAGGGCGCTGCGGTCAAATGCGTATATAATCGCTTTAAACTTTGCATGCATCGGCTAATGAAGTCGAAACACAACCCGGAACTCAGCACTACCTATGAGCAATAAAAATAAAAAAAAATGTCTATTTCAAGGACGCTCGTTAAAAAGAGCAATTGCCGCCAGAAATGCATACATACACAACCATACAGCACTACCTATGAACAAAATCAGTATCATCAGCACCACCGGAGCTTCGCCCCAATCAACATCATTCACCACGTGGAGATGCGGTCATTTTTTATTTGTCCCACACGTCACTCCCGCAGGAGTTGAATAGGCCGGCAGAAGAGAGAAACCTGGTTCGACAGGGCACGCTCGCACGCACCTTGCCGTCGTATCTCAGCGGAGAGGCGCTGCTTTTAATGTCAAAGTGACGTAACGGCACTAGGTTTATTCTTTTTTTTTTTTTCGGGGGGGGGGGGGGGGGGGGCGAAGCTTCTTTGGGGCTAGCCATGTCTGTATATCCGTCCGATGTCTGGCGTTGGGTGCTCGTGTAAAACAAAAAAAAAAAAAAACAGAAAAAAAAACAACCGCATCTTTACATAGTGAATGATGTTGATTGGGGCGAAGCTCTATATGGTGCTTGTCTGCGTAGACGGTGAGCCGCAGCACGCCGAGCCTTTCGTTCGTTTTCATCACGGAGTAAGAGACACTCTTTAGGTAAGGACACGGCGGGGCTGAACGCGCGGCGCGAGGAATCAGATAGTGTTCGTTCGACGGGCATCCGAAAGGCTGCATTATTCCACGGCCACCGTGCCCGTGCCCGCGGCTGACAGTGTCGCCGGCGGCCAAACGGCGAAACTGTAGAGCGAAAAAATTATCTCGTTGCCATGACACCCCGGTACAGCGTGGTGTTTTTGCACGTACGACAACCTCGCTGGAGCTTTGCGCGTGTGGTACATGAGGCGGCACGAGCCGTCTTGTACGTGCGCACGGGTCGACGAGTCGCCTGCCGGCGCTGCTTGAAACCATAGTGAGAGATAGTGAAGAACGAACTTTATCGGGCACGTCGCGAGGAGCGCGCTGTCCTCACCCGAAGAGTATTATCTTACATCGTGGCTTTCATCCATGTCAGAAAGAGAATGTGTGGTATGGAACGTGGTTATAGGGAGTATTCACTGGACGCCATATTTGTGAGTGCTGTTTAGAGCGCATGCTCAAAACGAGCTCACATCAATAGGCTGCTAAGGCCGGCACTCTTGATGGTGCGGAATGCACGCTCCGAAAGGACTGCGGAAGCTCGCCGTCAGCACGCGCTCAGCATTCGCGCACACAGCTATGGCCGCCAGTGAATAGTCCCTATAGTACACTGTAGTTATAGGGAGCATTCACTGGCGGCCATATCCGTGTGCGCTGCTGCTGAGCGCGTGCTGACGGCGAGCTTCCGCAGTCCTTTTGGAGCGTGCGTTCCGCATCATCAAGAGTGCCGGCCTTAGCAGGCTATTAATGTGAGCTCGTTCTGAGCATGCGCTCTAAACATCACCCTCAAATATGGTGTCTAGTGAATACCTCCTATATACGCATTTGAGCATTTGACCGCAGCGTGACATGGATGAAAACGAACGAAAGGCTCGGCGTGCTGCGGCTCAGCGTCTACGCAGACAAGCACCACCAGAGCTTCGCCCCAATCAACATCATTCACCACGTGGAGATGCGGTTTTTTTGTTTTTTTTTTCAATAACCTTTAGGTTTTTTATTTTTTATTTTTTAGAAAGAAGGATGTTGTACCCGTTGTATGACCAGAACGTGGTTGACATTTAGACTGTGAAATAGGCGCTAGAATTTCGTTGCAGTATTACTTCAGGGCTGGTTCCCACGGCAACGTTTCCTTACGTTTTCTTATGTTACGTAGTGCAGGAATTTTTAGTGTTTTTAGTTACACACTGTTGGCGCCCCACGGTGGCAGGAGAATTACGATAAAAGCAGCACCCCCTGGAGGGGTGAAAAGACGAAAACGTGTGCGAGAGAACCGTTCGTGAGCCTGTGTGGCAAACCAGTCCGTTTTATTTAAGGGGCGTTGAAGCGGCTTTGCAGTTCAGTAAATGCACTTAAGTCATCCTCATTTGTAAAATAAAATCACGAATATAAAGATTAGTTTTCAATTTGGTACTCGAAGGCTGTAGGAAATAATTTTCGAGGTATCGCTGAAGCCACTCCTTTCCGGAGCGTTCCGTCATAAAAGGAGTTTCGGAATCTCCGCTCTCGCGCATTTTCAGCTCCCATCGAAGCTATGCACGCGCACTCTGGCTATTCTAAAAAAAAAAGGCCAAAACAAGATGTCACGACTGGTGTCAGTGTGGGGC